AGTGGTCTATAACTCTAAATGTTATTTCTATTCTTTTTCAAATTATTAAACTCATTGACAAAACACTCCACTCTCAAATTATCTAGCATAAGAAAAACAAACACCAAAAGGATTATGTTTTTCCCTCCTATGAGACAGATGAAAATGAATAAACTGGATAATGTAATCAAGCCAAAAATAATTAAAATTAAAAAATGGTGTAACTGAGCAATTATTGGGCTTAAACTAAATAAAACCTCACATGTAATACATGGGTTGTAATAAGAAAGAAGGAAGACAAACGTGAGAATAGCACAAATAGAATGGGAAGGACAGTTAGAGTGGAAGGAAAAAACTGATGGGGTGTTTATAAGAATAGGCCAAGTGAGAATGGAGATGAGAACAATTTAAAAAACAAATCAATTGGCTATATTTGAAGAGGTTTTTCAAGAGAGAGCACTATTATACAGAAACTCAAGATGAGAATCTAAAGCAGGGCGGTCAAACCTGCGGCCCATGGCCAGGTGCGTCACACGCTGGCCACGCCCACATCCGGTATAGCAAAGGGGGGGGGGAAGTCCCAATACATCATGTGATGCCACTGTGACAATGTGAGTTTGACACCCCTGGTCTAAAGCGACATTGTGATTTTTTTTGTTAAGCCAAATTTCCATCTTTAACAACAGAATAACAGAGCTGGAAGGGACCTTGGAGGTCTTCTAGTCCAATCCCCTGTTCAAGCAGGAAACCCTATATCATTTCAGACAAATGTTTGTCCAATCTCTTCTTAAAAACCTTCAGTGTTGGAGCACCCAAAACTTCTGGAGGCTAGTGATTCCATTAAGGAATCACTAATTAAGAAAATTTCAACTTAGTTCCATGTTGATTCTCTCCTTGATTAGTTTCTATCCATTGCTTCTTGTTCTGCTTTCAGATTCTTTGGAGAACAGGTTGACTCTCCCTTCTTTGTGTCAGCCCCTTGGATATTGGAAGAATTCTATCATGTCACCCGTAGTCCTCCTTTTCAGATAGATATATCTTCCTCTTGTTCAATGTCTCAGGCTTCTCCCATTATCATCAGCCATCCTAAAGGCCAGGGGTGTCAAATTCACTTTGTCACAGCAGCATCACATGATGTATCGGGACTTCCCCCTCCCCCTTTGCTAAACTGGACGTGGGCGTGGCCAGCATGTGATGCATCTGGCCCATGGACCAGGAGTTTGACGGCCTTGCTAAAGGCTGTCATTGGAAAGAATTTATGCTGGTCTAATTGCAAAGGGTCATTCTGATTGGAAGATAAATCTATCAATCACATATCCAATTCTCTGAACCAACACCGCTGGTTCTTATCTTCCCAAATGCTAACAGAGTTTTATATCTCTCCCATTACTTAATTCTGTACTGCTCCGTGCAATGTGGCAGATCTCCCAAACCTTGTATCAGATACAATCTGTCAGAAGTTTCTGGATGGTATCAAATCAGCCAAAAAAGGCTGTTCTACCTTGAATGAATTATAAGTATTGGCCCACTCCACACTGGGTGCAGGCTTTATCGAATCCTAGTGTACAGACCTAAAGCAGAGGTGGTATTTTGCTGGTTTGTCCTGGTTCGGGCCAACTGGTAGTGGCGGGGGTGGGATGCTCTACCCACCCACCCAGACATCATCACAGATGCTCTGCGCATACGCAGAAGCGCTGCGCATGAGCTGCCGCTTCTGAACCGGTAGCGAAGATTAGAGCATTTCATGCCTGACCCAAAGGTGCTTTTCCAAAAGGCAACTGGACTTCCTTGGTTTCCCCCCCCCTTGAAAACGTTTCACTTCTCATCCAAGAAGGTTTTGCAGTTCAGAATTGAAGAAGCTTCTTGGATGAGAAGTGAAACGTTTTCAAGGGAAAAAAACTCACGAAAATTCAGCTGCCTTTGGGACAACCATGACCTGGATAATTAATAGATGATATGATGATTGAGAGTCTCCATAGACATACAGTTCACAGGGATAGTATTCATCCATTATATTACACCAAATCTAAATTCCATTGTGTGTAGCCTGATTCGTGGCCCGAGTTTATGTTTCTATAGCTTTAATTAAAGCCTAGCTCGTTGCATTCAAGAAGCTTCATAGCTGGATTATGGATTTCCCAATGCAAGGCCTGCACTCCCTCACTTCACTCTTGGGAAGTAAAAAGCTTGTGGTTTAGAATTCTAATAAAAAAGAAAAGAAGAAAAAAGAAACCCTTGTTCATTAGCACCACATCAGGAAACAGGCACACTAAGCCGGACAATATAATTGGCTTTATGTGCCTGAGAAAGCTGAAGGAGTTCCTGTTAAAGTCAGAATGTTATCCTGCATATATATTAGGAAATCTTACTCATATCCAAAGCCACTCATTTGAAACAACCCATCAGCAGCACCAGATCTCTATGGCCATGCTGAGTTTTTAAAAGTGAAAAATCTTGCTTTTTTCTCCATAACAGTGAACTATGATAATATATTTTAAAAAGCCATCTCCCTTTAAATGCTAACTAATTGCATGCTGCTGGGGCTATTTATATCTTGATCATTAAGGTTACACTTAGTCTAAGCAGAGCCAAGTGTAGAATAGAATTTGTCTCCCCCATTGGCTCATTTCTTCTACAACTATTTTTTCCCCTAGTGCCACATAACGGAGTGAGCTCCCATGACTTGTCCCGGCTTCTGCCAACCTAGCAGTTCGAAAGCCTGTAAAAATGCAAGTAGAAAAATAGGAGCCACTTTTGGTGGGAAGGTAACAGCATTCTGTCAGTGTATGAATATTCATAGACTGGAGTAGATCAGCCAATGAATAGGCATAGCAACTGGGTCAACCAATGAGGGCTGTTTTGGGAACAGAAACTGAAGCTTGGAGTCTGGGCCTGGCTTAGCTGAGAATTGAAACTGAAACTAGCCTGGACTTGTCTGTTCTGAATTCTGAACGAAAAACTCCTTTCTACTGTTCTCTCCTGCTTGTGTTCTGCTTGTAACTTTTACCACATTGAAAGAATCTACTATGTTGGTATTATACATTTATTCATCTATTTTTATGTATATAAAGAAGTTAATGAATCCAGCTGCATCAGTTATCTGTGTGTGCTTCTGGATTTGAATTTATGCAACAAACTCTGACACGTTCCCTGTGCCTTCGGTGTTTAGTCATGCCGGTCACATGACCACGGAGACATCTTTGGACAGCGCTGGCTCTTCGGCTTTGAAACAGAGATGAGCACCACCTCATAGAGTCGGGAACGACCAGCACATATGTACGAGGGGAACCTTTACCTTTACCTAGTTCAGTAGTTCTTAGGATAGTGCCCAGAAGTCTTGATATCTCTAGAACAGTGTTTCTCAACCTCAGCAACTTTAAGAAGTTTAGACTTCAACTCCTAGAATTCCCAAGCCAGCATGGTGGCTGACATTCATTGAAGACAAAATCTTCTTGTGTAGGATCATGTGTCTTTGGAACTTAACTCCAATTATTCTGCATGTTTCTGGCTCTGTCTTGAAAGCTTCTTCTTCAATGCTAACTTCAATTGTTTCCACGTTTGATCATAAGAACTTTGCAAATTCTGAATGCTATAGCATGATCATCTGTGGGTGCTTTTTAAAACGAAATCCAAGGGACTAGAATGGATTGCGTAATGCCCCTTTCCATGTGTAATGCCTTTGACACTAATAAAGGAGAATATGTGTAGCTCAGGGTTGAAATGAGGGGTCCTTTGAGCTTGGCTGTTTTTTTTGTCGACATTTCATTACCCAAACTAGGTAACATCATCAGTGCTAGTATAAACTTTGACACTATTTGAGTTCCTGTAGGCTTTCATTTTTTTTAAAGGAGCAACTTCTTGTTAAATAAAACCTTATCGTGGCCATTTCTAAGTACAGATTGCAAACACAATGTATTTGCACAGAGCTTCTGTTTTACACAGTCTCAGAAGTAATTTTTCCATCACTCTAACTGTCCATATGAACAAGAATAAGATTTATCATCACTAATAGATTGATCCAAGAATAAAATCAATTAGACACTAGTCCATAGTTCCATATTTCCACACTCCAGGCTTATCCCATATTTAATGGAAGCACCTTTACCTAATATTAGTAAGTTATGGGTTCAATTATGAGTGGATTTGGTACTTACACTTAATTATAATTCTATCATTAAGGTCTTATTTTTGTAAATATTAGCCATCTTCAACACCTGGTCTGACATAAAGGAAGTGAGACTAACAAATGGCAATAATAAGGGAACTGAGGTGTATTTCAATGAAATGTAGGCTGTAGGAAAAGGAAAAGGTTGATTGGATACAGGATTAATGTCTTCCTCAGAGTCTATACCTGAAACTTTATTTTTCTCTCTTTAGAAGAAAATAAAGTTCATGTATAGATCTGAAAAAGTGGGGCCTGGTGAAATATGTATTTGGAAGGCTATCAGTTAATATGCTCATAAAAGTCTTGAAAGTCTTAATATGGGTTAAAAGCCTATTGTTACCATACGGTCTTATATGTAATAGCTACAGAAAGAAAAGATGTCAATCTTATCAAGGTACAAGAATAACTTACCGTATTTTCCGGAGTATTAAGATGCACCTTTTTCCCGCTAAAAAGGGAGTGAAAATCTGGGTGCGTCTTATACACTGAATACAGCATTTTTGGCCTCCCGAAACCCTCCCCCTTTGCAAAAATGGTCATGCATTGCATTTAGGAGGCTTATAGGATGCTCCTGGAGGCTGGGGAGGGCAGGAATGAGTGAAAAGGGGGGTCGTTTTTGCCCCCCCAGCCCCCAGTGTCACTCTATAAACCTCCTAAATGCTATGCATGCCCCTTTTTTGATGTAAAATGGGCCCATTTTTTTTGAAAAATGAGCCCTTTTTGGGAGGTCTGCTGAGTGCAAAAACTTTTTTAAAAAATTTGCCTCTTTAAAATTTTGGTGTGTCTTATTCTCTGAAAAATACGGTGTTTTGAAATCTCTTAAAACCATTTTTTTAAAAAAAGACAGGGTACTTACTGTAGTGGCACAATGGATGTCTTTCCATACTGTAGCCTCTCTAGATAGATCAGAAACTTCAAAAAAGTTATCAAGAATAACTTCCCCAATCATATCATGTCTAGAAAACCTGTCAAAATCATACACGCTGAAATGTAGCTTCCTGTTGCAAAGTTGATCATAGGCCACGGGAAACTGAAAAGTTTCATTAAAGACAGGGTTTAAAGTCTTCCTATGAACCCGCGTCTGAAACTTTTTTTTCCTGTCTGGAAGAAGGTAGATTTTCACATACGGGTCTGACGTTCCCGTAAAGTCTTTAGCTGGTAACTCCAAAGCTTTAACGATAGTGACCAAAAGCAGTTCGTTTTCATAATCATATTTGAGAGTAAAGTTGAGTTTCCCACAGGTTTTCACGTCCTCTTGCTTGCCTTCGGAATCCACAGATTTTTGCTTGTAAAGCTCAGGTTTTATCCGTCCAATGCTGGTTGTCGTCTCCCCTCTTTGTAAAACTGGTTCTGGACCCATGTTAAAATCGATGCTAGACACCTGCATTTGCCTTGGCAGATGTCTCCTGAAAGAATTGTGTCTGCATTTAGAAACAGAAAGAAATTTAGCTTTGATTATCTTTTTTAAAATAATATTTTTATTGTTTTATATCACAAATTCCATTTCCATTTGTGGCAGCCCCTGAGATATCGGAACACTGCTATCATGTCTCCCCTCGTCCTAGTTTAATGAAAAGAAGGACTAGGGGAGACATGATAGCAGTGTTCCAATATCTCAGGGGCTGCCACAAATGGAAATGGAATTTGTGATATAAAACAATAAAAATATTATTTTAAAAAAGATAATCAAAGCTAAATTTCTTTCTGTTTCTAAATGCAGACACAATTCT